CAATCTATCCCTATTAATTATCTATCCTTATGTTTTTCCTACGCGTATACTGAGTCTTCATTAGTGTCATTAAAGCCCATTGCTTCTTCTCCTGTAGAAAAGAATTTAATTCTTCAATAATGGCTTTTCTTTTTTTTTCATGCTTGTTATCATCTCTCTTCTCAGTTTTGTGTTGTTTAGGGTAAGAAGTTCCAGTTTTTCTCATTTTTTCCATTGCAGGTATAGTTTCAAACCTCTCATAATTCCCGCTGGTTCTTCTCTGGACACTTTCCAATAGAGACAAATTATTCTTGAAGTGTAGTGCCTGGAACTGGATATACAGATAAGACATTAGCTGCAAAAGTTCACATTATTCAAGTTTTTATCTGTTATAATCCCCTCAGTCTCCTTCCTGAGGCCTGGTCTTTACTTCTATGTTCTCTGTCCCATGCTTGTGCACTTGAACGTTTCTGCCTAAGGGCAGTACCTCGAATTTACCTCCATTAAAAAGCTATTTTCAGACCCTTTTAGAAATGTGTCAAGAGGTTTTGGAATTCTAATCCTATACTACAGTGTATTTTCAGTCCCCTCCCACCTCTTTATCTCTTCCAGGTGGAATGTGTCCATTTTCCATTCCAGCAGCTAAACTATTATTGAATAGATTGAAACAGACTTAACGAGGTAGAGTTCCACTTGGTAATGCTGCTACACTAATAAAGGATGGCAGCAAGGAACAGTGCAATGCAATCGTGGCAGCACTGTGCTAGTTTGGTAATACGCAACACAGAGACAGACCAAGTTTTTCTTCTCAAACATTTTAAGGTCTTCAAGTGGAAAAGTGATGCAAAGACGTCCTGGGCCATAGTTTAACCTGTTATTTTTCAAAGCAGCATCAGTTTATGTCTTCTGTTCCCTACATTCCCTTTGGCACCTGTACCCCTGCACAGCCTCTTCTGTCAGGCCGACACAATGTGGCCTAGTGGTAAATCAGGTTGGGGGAAAACTAAAACAGCACAAAGAGAAGAAGCATGGCTCACAGATAGATGCCTGCTCTGAACCAGGCCACCACAGAGACTGTGCCCACACAAGGAAGGGGACAGGAAAGTGTGGCTGGAAGCATATGCTCACAAAGGGTTTAAGAAAAACTCAGCCTTTGTTGCTGCTTGGAGGAATTGCCCATGCACCTCTCTGTTCTTGTTTTTTCTCTCTGATGCTGGTTGTAGTACTTAAAACTACACTGTTCTTTTTGGCTTGGTTAATCTTCACTCTGTTTGGATCCCTGATTTGTCTGACCACAAAACAGGCATTGGACATAGGAGAGAAGTCTCTGAAAATGTAGTTTCATGACTGGCTTTCATTGAGCTAAAATGATGTTTTGGCCCAGAAACGTTTCCTTTACTGTGCCTTCCACAGCTCAGTGTGAGGCTGTGTGACTGATAAAAGGACATGGCAAGTACCAGCAGTGTGTCTTGGGGCTGGTACTTCAGTACCTTAGGTGCTTTCTCTTTTACTAAGGGCCTTTTATCTGCAACTCCAAACCTGCCTTCCGCCCCCAGCTCTGTGTCCTCTCACCCTGGCTGCCTTGCAAATTTTCCCCAGAGCTCCTGGAGCAGTATTTTTCCCTTGTTTTTCTCATGGTGTTTTTCTCATGCTGTTATTCTCATGACCTTGCACCTGCAAACCCCTGATAGTGTTCTCAGCAGGTTCTCATGGGAAGCGACTACCTCCAGCGTGAGAATCATACCTTCTTCCCCCCTTTTCCTACCATTTTGCTTTCTGTTTGCATTTCAGGGGGCACACATCTTAACAACAACCCAGTGTGGAACACCCACAACATAAGTGGTTACAAGCAATAGCATTTGTGTGTGTCCCAACAAACATTGTATCGTTGCTATGGTAAAAGCACTAGGGGGGCACCTGGAGAGAGTCCAGGAGAGGATGCTTTCTGAGGACCCTCTCCTCACTTTTTTCTTAGCTGCCCATGTAGAAGAGCTCTCACTTTCTTTTCTCTCTCCCAATCTCTCCCTCTAGCTTATTTTCACTCTTAGATTCAACGTACATCCTCAGCTATGAGCCCCACTAATAAATCTTTGTGCATGTGAACTTGTCCCCACACCCTATGTGGGTTAAGGCATGGAAGGCAAGAATCCCCCTGACAGCCTCCTTCCTTTAGCAAAACCACAGTCCTAAACTAGTTCTGCAGCATCGTGCAGGGAACAGTGCAGCTCCATGCAGTTTAAATGAATGGGTTTAACCGGTGTGTTTAACTGCTGGGTTACACTGCCAGCATCTTGTGTAGTGGAGGGAAGGGAACACACAGGTGAGGCAGGAGAAAGAGCGACAGTGGAAGGGTTGCTACAGGGGATTAGAATAGCATGAAATCATACTCTAAGTGGGAAGAAAAAAACATGAATACCCGAGACTTTCCTCTTCGTAGAGAGATAAGTTTACAAGAACTGATGTGACCAGAGGAATGGTTCCAGCACTGAAAGCTGCCCGTCACCACAGAGACAAGCAGCTCCTTGGGGAGCAGGGTTCTTGGGAAAAGAAAGAGCAAGAGCAAAGTGATGAGGTGATAGGACACAGGAGCTGTTCCAGCAGCTGCTGGTGTGGACTGTCGCCCTCTTAGAACCGCTGGCAAATCTGCCTGCACCCTGTTACGAGGTTTCACAGCTACTTTGGAGATTTTCCAGTACAACTACTGAAAAACGAAACTGAAATATGAGCTGAGAGAATAACCCATTTATTTAAATATAGATTAACCGTAGGTGTTGGACCATTTTCCCCAGCAAACAAGTCCTGCACCATGCAGCTAAAGAAAACCTGAATTACAACAATGTCTCTAAGGCATTTCTAAATCATCACATTTTGTTGCAGTTAATCATTGCACTGATGTTTTAGCACTGTGAGTAGCTTCTGAAGATGATGTCAACACAGTCATCATGGCTGTGTGTGTTTCAGTGGAAAATATTTTGGGCTAAGCCTTGTGCATGGCTATTTCAATAGAAAAATATTTAAGGGAAAGTGTATTGCCATGGTAAACTCTGTAGAAAAACTAGGGTGCTGCATGGGGAAAAAAAGCCAAAGTTATATACAGAGGCAAAGGCAAAAGCTGCATTTTGCAAAATATTATTAAATTATCCACGTATTTTTTGCATTAGCTGCTCCTTTAGTGAGTGATGCTTTCACAGAACAGACAATATAGCACAGGGCCTGAGTCTGTACTATCTTCTCCACAGACTGGCTGTGTAACAGGGTGGTTTATCCAGGAAGATTCCCCGGTGTTAAGGAGAGACCCAGGCCAAGAGCTCCCTGCCGAAGGGGTGCCGTATAGTAATGGAAGCATGGGGCTTCCCCGGATGCTCCTGACCTGTTGCACCTTTCCCAAGTTGAATGTAAATCTTTCTGAGGATCATCCTTCTAGTGTTTTTGGGAAGATATGGAGAAAATCCTAGGGAGGTAGCTGCACATACTTCTGCTTACTATACAGAAGCCAAGTGAAATACAGTATGTCTGAACATTAGCTTCTCATCTTGGCCTTTCAGATTCTTTGCTGTCATGGTGATTTAGTACTTTAATATCCATGCTTCTACAAGTGGGGATGGCCCAAAATGATGGACAGCAGCCTTTAGCATTTAGGACATTTTTAACTGCTGCTGATACAGGCCATGCCACCAGCTGAATTCCTGTTGATGGCAGAGGCTGTATCACAGAATCATTATTGTACTTTGTCACCGTGTTGGGCTGCAGTGTGGGCCTGCAGATCCCCCCCATTTATTTCCACAAATTAGGCTCTAAATTCCCTTTGCAAATATGCTTCATATACTGGAATATGCTGGTCTGGTTCAGTGAGAGCTCCTCCACATACAGAACAAGCTATTCTGGAAGAAAGGTAACTGTAATCTAAACCAAAGGCTTTGTTCACATAAGCCGTGTGTCCATGAGGATTTATTTGGTGACAATACTGGTTTTAGTAATTCTGCCTTTTTTCCTGCCACCTGCCTCTCTTCCCACCAATTGTTCTTGGCCACTCCCTGCACTGTGCCAGCAGAACTGTTTGTGTACTTTGTGAACAGATAAGGGAACTGATCTAATGCAACTAGGCAAAATGGAGAGGTGCTGTTTGTTTTCTTCTGCCAGTTCACTTGGCTTGTGTGATTCATTACACAGCTATGTAAATCACTGCTTGGCAGAGAACAAAGGGCAGGTGGAAGCAGGAGACATTAGGTGGATGGGGTGGGATAGGACTGCCTGAACCACATTACTCCTGACTCAGATGATACTTTACCGACACTAATTGCACATTGCTGCCACTCTGTCATCATGGCAGCAGAGCTGTTAGAGTAGCATAGAGAGTTCGACACCTTGGGTCAAACCCTTTCACCCTTGATGACAAACCATGAACTTAAGTGGCACACAGGGGGATTTCAGGAGATTGCTGACCTATAGCTCACCACTACCAGCAGGATGAGATCTTGTTTTTCAGCCATCTTTCACTCCTGGCTGCAGCTTCCTTTCTGGTGGTCATCGGAGAGTTTGCATTAGTCTGGTTTTGCCCATTAGCTAAAGAGGTAGGACAATGTTACTCTGTGCTTGATCAATTGTCTTCTAAGTTAGTGAGCTGAACTGTTTCACTGATGGCCTTTTGAAAGCAGAGCCCAGTGCACTGGTGGAAAACCAGAACTAGGAACATGAAGAAGGTTTGGAAAGAGGGGGGTGTGTGAGATATCCTTCCTTCAGTAGCGTTGAGTTGTTAGATCAATTCAGCTGTCTCATCTTCTGATTCAGATACGTCTTCCATTTTTATGCAAGTTGATAGCTCCAGCAGATGATATGATGTATCCATATCATCTTGAACTTCTGCAGGAAGATTTAAATGTGTGAGCTGTTCCTTGCTTTCAGAGCATGAGTCAGCTCAAGGTCTGACCCATTAATCTTTCAAAAGTGAGAGAGGGTGTCATGGTTTGAGATACCCCAAAATCCAGTTCCCTAACTCCATTCCCCCTCCCACATCTCAGCCTTTTCTGGCTGTTGCATTCCTCTTATGCAAAAGGATGCTATGGGTTTCTGTGTCGATGTTTTTTCTTTGGTTTCTAATGTTGCTGTTTTCCTAAGGCAAAAACTGTGTTAGCTGTCAGACTTACAAATTCAACTGGTGTTCTGAAAATCCAGTCATGTTTTCAGAATCTTAATAAAAATACCAGTAAAACAGCCTCTGTAATTGGAGATGAACTGACAGGGCAATTGACAATACATGGAGCAGAACGGAAACCACCTCAGTTGCCATGTCTGTGTTTTCCCACTGAGCTAATAGAATTCAAAAAGATACTTTTTTCCCCAGTTAATTCAGTACTCCCGAGGTATACACGCACAGAAAACAGTAACAATAAGAAACACTTCTTATAGAGCAGCTACCGGTATCAGGTAATTTAGGTGCAGGGCTATCACTGTAGATAGGTAAAATAAGGGTTACCTAAGGCAGCATAATATTGGGGCAGTACAAAGGCCAGGGACCCACTGTAAATGCAGAAGATCTAAAAGGTCAGACTCAGCTGCTTCACTGAGTAACAGAAGAGTTTGAAGGCAACAGGTATCGCCTGGGGAGAACACCTCTCCACACTCCCTGCGGCAGTGGGAACAAGAAGTTTGTTTTCCAGGGCTCTGCTCCTTTATGTCTGCCCACTAGCTCTCTATTCCATGTATCCTCCTTTCCCAGCACAGCACAGCCCCTTCATCTTTAAGACAGCAAAATTCAGTGCTACCCACATAGTTAAGAAACCTCAAGCTAATTCTAAGACTCTCTAGACCATCACTATCTCTTACATTCTTTCTTACATATCCTCTACTGTGTAGTCTTCGATACAAAAGTACTGGGCTGGCGGGGCCAGCTGATTGCCAAAATCATCACCAAAAGAGAGGAAGGTGGAGGTCTTTCTGTTTTATGTAGACTACTTGAAGCGTATCAAGGAAGAAAGACGCCAGGATGTCTTGATGAAGTCTTTACAAACAAAGGTGTGAAGGTGCAGTCTTGGCTGCAGCTAATACAAGACTGTAGAGATGAAAATCGTGAAAGAAATGAGCAAGTAGTAGAATCACAGCCCTGGACTTCAGGAAAGAAGGTTTTGGCCTACCTGGGAATCTTCTTGGTAGGATCCAATAGGAGACTAACTTAGAGGGCATGAGGCCAGGGCAGCTGGTTGATCTTCAAGAAGAATCTCCTCTAAGAAAAAGAGCAGTCCGTTCTGATGTGCAGAACGGACAAGTTCTGCAGACAAGTATGGGAGGAGGCCAGCATGGATGTATAAGGGACTCCCAGCTGAGCTCCACCACAAAAAGGAAATGTGTGGAAAGTGGAAGCACAGATGACCTGCCTAGGACAAATACAGAGACATTGCTTGAGCATGCAGGGCTGGTGTTGGGAAAGTCAAAGCTCAGCTGGGAGATTAAACCAGCTGGGGAGGTGAAGGTTAACAAGAAAGGCTTCTGAAGGTACACTGGCAGCAAAAGGAAGGCTGAGGAAAATACCGTTCCACTTCTCCATGGAGCAGTGGGCAGACACAGTGACAAACAACATGGAAAAGGCTGAGGTACATAAAGCTTTTTCTGTAATGGTTTTCACTGATATGGTCTGCTCTTAGTCTTCCCAGTTCCCCACGGTTAGTAGAGTCCACAGGAGTGAAGCAGTGCCCAGCAGAGCAGTTAGGGAGCACTGAAGCCAACTGGCCATACCGAAAGCCACAAGACCAGATGGTGTGCTGGAGGAGATGGCCAATGTCATTGTGAGGCTCTATCATCTTTGAAAAGTTATGGGGATTTGGGGAGGTTTCTGGTGACTGGAGATGAGTAAAGGTTACACACATGTCTTCCAGAGGGGCAAGAAGAAAGATGCAGGGAATGATAGACTAGTTTACCTAACCTTAGTCCTGGGAAGGTGGTGGAGCAAATACTCCTGGAAGCCATGTCCAAGCACATGAAGGACAATAAGGTAACTGCCAGCATGTATTTACCAGGTCAAATTGATTGTTTTCTACAGTGTGATGACTGTGTGGACAAAAGGGGAGCTCTGAGTGCTCTAAAGGTTTTGCAAAGCTTTTGATATGTCTTTCTATAATATTCCTACACTCAAATTGGTGTCATATAGCTGGATAAGTGGATTATAAGGCAGGTGGAAAGTTGGTTGGCCCTTGTTTCAAAGCGTGATCAGTGGTACAAAGTCCAATCAGCTGCAGGTTACTAGTGGCATCCCTCAGGGATTGGTACTGGGGCCAGTACTATTTAAGGTCTATTACTGATGACCTGGATGATGCAATGGGGGCAATCACAGCAAATCTGCAGACAACCCTAAACTGAGGGTGAATGGTTGATACATCGGAGTTCAGGACTTCTATGCAGTGTCCCAGACAGGTTGGCAGAATGGATTCACAAGAATTTCATACAGTTCAACAAAGCCAAATGCAAAGTCCTGCACTAGGGGAAAAATAGCCTTATGCAACAGCAAAGGTCAAGGGTCAACAAAGGAGCCCAGAATAAAAAGACTTGGAGGTCCTGGTGTACAGTGAGTGGAACATGAGTCAGTAGAGTGGCCTTTAGGCAAAGAAGGTAAACTACACATGGGGCTGTTACTAACAAGAGTTATCAGCCAGTAAGTAAAGTGGTCCTTTCTCCCTCTTTGGCACTTGCGAGATCACAAGCGTCCAGTTCTGAGCTCCCCAGTAGAAGATATGCTGGACTAAACCCAGTAGAGAGACACCATGAAGGTCAGGGGACTGGAACTCATGATGTATGAAGACAATCTGAAAGAACTGAGTCTTGGCCTTAAGAAAAAGCTAAGGAGGGAGCTGCCTAATGGAAGGATGAAAAGAAAACAGATGCACAGGGAAAGGATGAGGGGCAAATGACACAAATTGAAGCATGTGAATTTCTGACTAATTACAAGTTAAAAAAGGATTACCATGAGGCTAGTAAAACACTGAAAATAGGCGACGACAGTGGCTTCAAAATCTTTTTTTTTTGAAGATACTCATAACTGAACTCAATGAGGCCTTGAGGACCTGGTTTTAACTTGCCCTTCTTTGAGCAGGGGATAGAGATGATGAGCTTTAGAGGTCCCTTCCAACCTACATGATCCCATGATTCTGTGCAGAACTGTGCCTGGAAGAGGATGAATGAAAGGAGTGAGACATTTACTTTCAACCCCCATATATAAAAAGTATTTCAATGTCCCTGAATGATCCAGAAATATTCTGGTATGCATAAAAAAACCCCAACAAACCCAAACCAGACCGTCTCTTAAGATCCCATGTCTTCAAGGCATTCCAGAAATGTTTTGACATTTATTATTGCAATCCTATGAGAACTCACATTTGGTAAAATCTTTATATATAGATATATCAAATCCAGCCCTCTCAAGTACCCACCATGTGCTTTTAAGATACCTCTAAATCACTACTTGAAACTCACTGTAGACTTAAAAAAAGTATATTTTACTGTTCTCCCATTTTCCTCTATGCACTATGTCAAGGGCCCTATTGCTTCTAAGTTAATATATGTATAGTATTTATATAACAGTATTATACTAATTAAACAAATAATGAACTATAATAAATAAAATATTTTTTCATAATTTCCCTCTAGGATGTAAGAAATGCTTCTCCCATAACACTGCTGAGAAACTGAGGTACAGAAAAGCACAGAGGCTTTCCAAAGAGAATCTCAGCAGAGCACAAATTTTTAAGCAAATTATCTGAACTTTCAAGCTTATGTTCAACCACACAACTAATTCTTTAAACAAACACTTGATGAAGTGTACTATGACATTTGGAAACTCCGTTCCCTGGTACACCTGCATTTCATGTCTTTCAAGAAAGCAGAAAAAGACAAATGTTTTAGACTAACAAGTGTACAGTGAGGCCAGCAGGATTGTCGGTGGTGAAAGAAGCCCTCTAGCATCCGGAAGATAGGAGAAGGCATAGACCTGCCTGGACACAGCAAGTTGGTGAGGGAGACTGAACTGGTTGATTTTGGGTGAGGAACCTTTCCACATGCCAGCCAAGAAGAACAGGCTAGCTGAGGCTTTCACTTTCCTTATGATTTAGCTGAGCCTTATGATGTAGATGAGCGGTGGAGTTGGACGTGCAGCTGGCCATCTGGAGCACGTCAGCTGGCAACTGCTCAACGAAGGGGAGTTGTCTTCCCTCTGGTAGCTCAGGGACACCCACAGGGAAAAGTTAAAAACTCTCGCCACTGAAAACTTAGTGCCTGCCCTTCTTTCAACAAATCCACAGCAGCTGTGATTTAGTCTTAATTATAAGATACCCGTCTTTTTAAAAAACATCCTGTCATATTTCAAAAACAAGCTTGTATATTTTCCCACAAACACTTTTATCAAAACCTTGATCTCACAGCACAGACCTGGGCAGAGGTTTTAATTGTAAACTACCATCCTTTGCTGTGTAATGCTTCATTGGAGCCTACAGTGCTGCAGAAGAAAAGAGAGACTGTTTATTGCTAACACTATAGTACATGCACCATTTGAAGTGTATCTCTCCCTCTTTATCTCCGAAGTTTATGTGAGATGAAATTTTGCATACAGGGCACGGCTCACCTCTGTCACTGCCCTCAAAGCGTTTTTGAGACTGGAATGTCTCCCTCAGGGAGGGAAGACTTGTTTCTGCTCCTACAAGAAAAGAAGATAAGATGCTGTGCCTGAGGGCAGATTACTTTTCCCCTTTGTTAGAAGACTTTTTTTTGTTGTTTTGATTTTTACTGTTCATAATTATTATGACTCTGGGACCTGTGGTTTCTGAAATAAATAAATAAAAACCTGGCAATTGCAGTTATTTCATTTACAGCTGCAGAAGTAGCTTGTCAGGGAGTACAGAAGCAGGTAGCAGAGCAGAACCTACATTTCTTATCCGGAAACACTGTTTTCAGACTGAACGACTTCTGTGGAGCGAGCAGGAGAACATACAAAAACCCCCTTCAGGCACGAGGTCCACAGAGGGGCCGATAACACCCGTGGCGACAGGGGCTGCTTGTTTCTCTATCACACGCGTGCTCGGGCTGCAGGCAGTGATAGGTAAGCGCCGCTCCGCTGCCGTGCGTTTATGACACGGATTACCACCAGGCTAAGGCCCCAGAGGGAGTGGGATGCCCGCGGCGGGAGGAAAAGGAAAGCAAAGGGCGCTATCCCAGCGCTCTGACCGCTCCGTCGCCGGCCCGCCCGGGCAGCGCGGCCGCTTTACGGCAGAGCCATTCCGGCCTGGCCGTCCGCGCTTTGCGGCTGCGCGGCGGCGGGTGGGGGGCGGGGAAGATGTCTGAGCGGGGAGAAGCCCCGGCGGCGGCGGCGGCGGCGGCACCGGTGGGGGAGATGCCGGCCAAGAAGCAGAAGCTGAGCAGCGACGAGAACAGTAACCCCGGGGACCTGTCCGGCGACGAGAACGTGAGGCCGGGCGAGGGGGGGGGGGGGCGGATGGAGCGCGGGGGGGGGGGGGGGGGGGGGGGGCTGAGGCGGGAGCGCGCCCGCGCGCGCGCGCGGCCTCTCGGCGGGGGCGGGTGCGCGGGAGCGCTGAGGGGAGGGGGGCGGCCCCCTCCCCACCTGAGGGGACATCGCCCGCCAGGACCCTCTGGGGCGGTCCTTGGCGGGAGAGGGAACGAGCCGCACAGGGAGAGCGGGGTGTCAGCGTATATCCCGCCCGCCCCGGCTCGACTCGGGGGCCGCCCCGCGAGGCCGCCGGAGGGAGGCCCCGCTGGAAGAAAGCGGGGAGAGTTGGGGGGAGAGACACTCGCTGTGCCCCACGTGGGTGAGGGAGGCTTTGAGGCCCGAACTGTGAGCGGGCTCTGTGGCGAACTCTGCTACAAAACGTCAGACTTTATTCATTTTTTTTTTTAATTATTATTTTTGCTGCAAAACAGCAGAATTTTCCATCGTTCCTGCAGTTTTGCATCGTGTGTCTTCACTGTCACGTTGTAAAGTAACACGCGGCACAAGTTTATGTTGTGCAGCCCTTGGGCGAATGAGGAGTAGGAGATGGTGCTCATAAACTCCTGTCAGCAGGAGAAGGCAGCGGGCGATGGGGACTGTAATCTCTAACTTAGGTAAAATTCTAGTGTTCAGAGCAAAGGTAATGTGTTTGATATACAGTAACTTTATACCTGAAAAGTAAACTTAGTTTAAGGTAGTGAGCAGTCCCTTTATGTAGGTACTGGTGTGCAGGGTGTTATTTGCCTGTTGGCTTTATGCAATGTGGGTTTTTTTTTTGGTTAGAGCACTTACCCAGCAAGTGAGGCATCTGGACCACATCCTCCACAGGCTGTGGAAATGCTGCTTGTGAGGTGACAAGCAGGTTCAAGATGCTTCACACCACTGCTGCTGGTTTTGTTTTTCTGTTGCTCAGCAGCATTTGTGAATCCGGGTGTAATTTGGTGACAGACATTCAGGTTTGCTTTGGTGACAAGTTTTAGGCTATCAGGGACCACAGAACACATTGCTCAAAGGAGTTGTGGATGCTCCATCCCTGGAGGTGTTCAAGCCCAGGAGGGATGGGGTTCTGAGGAACCTGGTGTAGTGGAAGGTCTCCCTGCCCACAGCTGGAGATTGGAACTAGATGATCTTTAAGGTCCCTTCCACCCCAAACGGTTCTGTGATTATATGATTCTCTGATGTGGGTTGTCTCAATGGTGAAGGGATTCCCTTTTCAAGAGCTTGTTACTGAACTCCTGAAGTACTGTTACTACTCCTGAAAGATGGGGGATTCTGTTTAAAGGTTGACATAATAAGCAAGGCAACAACAAATTACAAGCACAACAGAAGTTGACATAATAACAACATGAGGTGTTGATTTGGAAAAGGTAAAGAAAGGGTGTGTTTTGTTCCGTAGGTGTCTGTGCATGTTTGTCCTTTATGTGGTACTTGCAGATACCTGGTTTAGTTGTGCCACACTGGGTACCTGGTGTTCTTACAGTGACAATATCTGGCCAGTCCAGAGATAACTTCAGTGTTGTCAAGTATTAAAATTCTGGCTAGCAAGTGTGCTTGGGAAATGACAATTTGGCAAAGTCTGAAAATTTCAAGGGTCACAGAGAAGAAACTGAAAAGTGTAAAAATTGTTAAACTTGGTTGCACATTTTAGGGAAAGGTTGGCTCTTTTATGGGTGCAATGTGAAGGGAATGACTCCAGATTTGGGCAGTACACTTACACACTTGTGTGGCATTATTCTTCCTTTTGTTCCTCATGGTACCTAATTTTTCAGAGTTGTCAGGCAAACAAAGACCAATATACCTCTACAGGTGTTTGATGATACAGACATGAAACTGGGACAAAGAATAAATGTTTGTTGGGAATTGGTGTATTAATGTTTGTAGTTGAGCTCATTCTGTATTCCTAGTGGAGTTCCTAATGCACCTTCATGTTTTACTTAATCTCCTCCAGTGACAGGCTGTTGTCTGCCTCTGTTCCCCTTAGTTCAGCTCTAGAAATTTCATGGCTTTGTGATGAACTTTTTTCCCCCCACTGCTCTAACAGAAAGTGGACAGACTACCTTGCCAGAAAAACCCCCGAAAAGTTGATTTTTGACGAGCTGCACGTACTGCTATGGAAGCACAGGGCTGGCAGTTCTGATGTGAGTGAATTGTGCTCTTGTGGGCAATGCAGGGAAAGGTCCTTTTAAAGTGGTGTCCTGCAGTGACACTGCACATGAAATTGTAGTTTCTGTTAATTGTCCAAAGCTGAGCTAAAATCGCTTAGCAGCTGGATGGGTTGTTTGGGTATCCTTTTTTTTTTTTTTTTTTTTTTTCAGTTTTCTCCATTTTTATCTTAGCTCTGGCTGCTAAGGATTGGAGGGCCAGTTGGATTAGTTAACTGATCAGAATTTAGCTTCTAGTGGAAACAAGTATCTGTGTGAAAGAGCAAGAGAGGAAGGTGGGACTTCCTCTTCTGGTGGCAGTGCTGACTTGCTGAGAACTGTGCTGTGACTGATGCTGCTGAGGTCTGCAGAAGCCTCACAATGGCTTGGTTCTTGGTGTGGTCGAGTATCATGTTTTTTACACAGCTCTTCCTTCAGTACTTCAAAAGTACTCATTTCATTTGGATCAAGGATGTTTTCTAGGGGAAGCAACTGCTTTGTCTTTAGACATTTTCTTAAGAGCAGCTACCAGTATTCTGAAGAAACTTCACTAGATCACAGTTCACATCTCTCCCTCTTGGATTAATCCTCATGTGACTCACATTCTGTTTCTAGGGAGGAATGCTGTTATATTAGCAATAGGTCTAAATAACACCAAGTGCTGGGAGGTCTCCCGTTCTTATGTAGGAGAAGAAAAAGGGAAAAAGGCCAAGTGCTGCAAGATTAATTGAATTTATACAGCCATTAATGATCTCTTTATGACATTCTATATAATTTGGAATGTTTTCAGGATGATGCCGTTAGTATTGAAAGCGGTACTAACACTGAACGCCCTGATACACCAACAAACACTCCTAATGCACCAGGAAGAAAAAGCTGGGGGAAAGGAAAATGGAAGTCAAAGAAGTGCAAATATTCCTTCAAATGTGTAAATAGCCTAAAGGTAGGTATGTATGAGCTTCAGCAGGGGAATGCTGGGTACCACTTGCTGGCAGTAGTGTTAATGTTGACTGTGAGAGAGTGTCAAGATAGATACTTTTCAATATATATAAACAATTATGTTCCATGCTGATTGGAAGAAGTACCTCTCTTATTTGGAATGGCCGAGCTTTTGAAGAAAAAAGATACTGGGAAATAGGAAACAGTCGGTAGTGCTGTAATTAACCCCATTTTTGTACGGGTTTGCAAAGTAATATGTGATGTTGTAATTATGTATTTCATTGAAGCTGTAGTTGCTAGAGATAAATATAAGAAATGGAATAAACAAATTCAAATAAAACAAAACCTGTGACAGCTCCATGCAAAGCACAGAACCTTTACAGATTTTTCTACCTTTTGAAATATCTTTAGAAAAAACTAACCAAACAAAACGAGCCTACAATTTTGGAGTAGCTTTCTCCTCACACTTACCAGATCAGGTACTGGTATTTTCTGTCCTCTGGCAATTATCATAAATGCTATATAGTGCAATTTGGTTAACTTATTGTGAGTGTTGTGATTATATGTTAGCACCTGATCGAGGTAGTGTTTATCTGCTCACACAGCACCTAATGGTCTTAAGAGAAGTGGATTCATGGACTTTACTCCCTGTTCTGGTGTTTTTGGATATTGCTGTTTTCTTCTACTCTGGTGACAGACTGTGGTGGACTGAATGAGTTTTCTCATTCATTATTATTTTACAGTACCAGGACGTTCTTTTTTTTCTCATTCCTCAGCCTTGTGTGGGATATTTATGTGGCAAAAGCTGTAAATATGCCTTATGATTTGATTTTTATAAGATTTCTAAATCAAGATCATGTCTGGAACAAGATGGAGTTTTGCTAAACTATATTTAGCTAGCATGCAGCTAGCTCCATAGTAGATATTTTCTGCAGAATTGCTTTAAGAAGTTTTTGTCTTTCCCCCACGCTTGACTGTTGAGTTGCACTGATGTAGCTGTTTCTGAACTTTGTCTTCGAGCTGCCTCACTGCATTGCTGGGGTACCTGAGTGGGAGAGGATGAGAGGTTTGGATGATGGAAACCTGCTAAATGAGCTTTGCCATGGGAGAAATTGTGATATGAAGTTACACTGACAAAAGTATCTGGGAAACAAATTGATCTTATTGTGTTCTTGAAGTATAAAAATTATCTCCGGCCCTCTCAGGGTGTAGGAGGAAGGGAAGTTGTTTTGTTTTCACCAAGGTAGGCAGCAGTTCCTGTGATTCCAGTGAGTCGCCCCCACGGATGGTGCTATTTGTGGCTTCAAGTCATACTTCAAACACAGAGGTGGGCCTTTGGGCACCCAAACTCTTAACAAGTTCTGAGTTTTGTTACTCATGTTTGTTTTTCTGTCTGCAGACAGAAAGGGTTAGTACTTTTCAAGTGTCTCCTGGGAAAACAAAACATTCCCTCACCTCACTGTCAACCCAGGCCCCACTTGTAGGGTGGGCCAAAAGACTGCCCTATGACATTAAGCAATCCCTGACTTCTCTGAATTCGGATC